TCATATTGGATATATTGGTGTTATGTGTGTGTATGTGTGTGTGTGCTGTCTTGAAAGATGATAGAATAACACTTAATTTACACAGACAGTGACAGGGGTGCACGGCAATATCTGGCTTAATTGCATTTTTTATAGTTACATTGTTTTACAGTTTCATTGAAAGGTTCATTATAGAACCTCAGTGAAGCATGGCTCACATAAAAAACTTGCAGGGATGGAAAAAAAATCAGCCCTGGCTTATGCTGACATAATTCTTAATATTGCTTGATGTACACTACTGTTCAAAAGTTTGGGGTCAGTAAGATTTTTTTTTAATTAAAACTTATTCAGCAAGGATGCATTAAATTGACAAATCAAATCAAAAGTAAGGACAGTAAAATAAATGCTGTTCTTTAAAACTTTCTATTCATCAAAACTGTATCGCTTTTACCACAAAAATATTAAGCAGCACCACTGGTTTTAACATAGATAACAATTAGAAATCTTTCTTCAGCACCAAATCAGCATATTAGAATGATTTCAGAAGGATCAAAATAGCTGTCTTAAATTGTAATAATATTTGACAATTTTACTCTGTTTTTGATCTCATAAATGCAGTCTTGGTGAGCAGAAAACTCTTTTTCAAAAAACATTAAAAATATGTTGCCAATCCCAAATTGTGAATGGTAGTACTGATTTTCAGTTTGTACTGATATGTCAAAAATAGTCATTTTTACATAGCAATGGCTGCACAATTAAATTAAATAATAACACATTTCAGTCATTTATAAAGTACTCAATAAGTGCAGTGCAAACACTTTGAATTTACATTTGATTTTTTTTTTTTAGCTAATTCACTAGATCTGTACCGTACAAAACTATTTGCTTAATTCAATTAATTACCTGATTTGAATGTATTATAAAGGTTTATACATCTGTGTCTGGCTCTAGTATGTTGCTGTGCTGGTGTGTCGGGGCCACAGTGCTTTTATACGTGTTGTACTCCTGGCTCATCCCCACTGCTGTGCAGTTCAATGGCAGTCTGGCGTTACTCTGGCACGACGTCATCGTTGAGCGTGCTCTTGATACTCTGACCAGATCAACTCGACCACAGGTGACTCAATCAGTCCTGGTTAAACACAGCTTTCTATCACCAAAATTACAACGTGTACCTCTGTTCTTTATTTGCAACTATGGACAATGGGATCTTAAGACTGAGGAAGTTGAACTATGTTAGACTTTTGAGGCCCATAAAGTAAGCAAAGTCATCACCAGACCTCTTTATTCTTTGTTGTGACTATAGCGTCTTCTGAAAGCAGGAAGGAAACGTGTAAGCAAAGTCATCACCAGACCTCTTTATTCTTTGTTGTGACTATAGCGTCTGCTGAAAGCAGTAAGGAAACGTGCAACGCAAGGTGACCCCCAGAGTGTGATCTCGGCCATTGATCATTTCTGCCGACACAGCGAATGGGCTATGAACGTTGGAGATGAGAAAGGTCAGAGCACTGTTTTATATTTACATTTTATCTCTTGTCAAATGATTTTCTTCAAGAATTTCAGGACAAAATCTCAAAGAAATAATAATAAAATATATATATATATATATATTCTTTCATATCTTATTATGGTTGCTCCAAAATAGGGAAAGGGTTTTATTAATTATGTAATTTTTACCATTTAACAAAGAATACTGCCATGTTTGAGGCCAGAAAAAACAACAACTTTTATTTAACTGTGGCACATTAAATTGATTAAAAGTGACAGTAAAGACTTTTACATTGTTACAAAATGATGTTACTACAATGCTGTTCTTTTGAACTAGAATGATTCCTGAAGGATCATGTGAAACTGAAGCCTGGAGTAATGACTGCTGAAATTTCAGCTTTGCCATCACCCAAATAAATTACATTTAAAAATATTTAAAAATAAAAATATGTATTTCACAATATGGCTAGTTTTATGGTTTATGGCAGTCTTGGTGAGTATCAGAGACTTCCATCAAAAACACAAAAAAAAAATGTACCGACCCCAAACTTTTGAATGGTAGTGTATATTTTTTATATGGGAGTTGCTCTGAATAAAAACATCTGCCAAATGTCAACATACCATTTCATGTCTAAAATATGTTATAAAAATATAAAATAAAAATGTATTTCTATAGGAATCTGTATATTTGTATTTAATCAACTCAAATTCAGTAATTTGTGGAGCTTTTACTAAGCTGGCTATAACATTGTGATTTAACCAGTAACTGTCTTTTATGTATATTTGTGTGTGTATATTCTCAGGCTCTATCCTGGACTCTGTGGTGAGCGAGTTGAACCCAGAGAAGGTCCTAGAGTTGGGCACATACTGTGGATACTCCACAGTGCGCATTGCTCGACTCCTTCCTCCTGGAGCTCGTCTGATAACACTGGAGTTCAATGCAGATTATGCTGCAATTGCCCGACAAGTAATCGCCTGGGCGGGTCTTGAAGACAAAGTAAGGGCCCTGTTCATCCACAAACACATTGTTTAAATACAGTCATCCTTATTTACTCTCTGAACATTATGTTTGTAGCCTATATATTAAAAGGATAAGACTCATTTCTTGTTTATCATGCCTTGAGCTAATGTATTACTTCATCAGATCCAGCTTGTAGAAGGTGCGTCTGAAGATTGGATCCCACGCATGAAGGAGCACTTTGGAATTGAAACATTTGATTTTGTTTTTCTGGACCACTGGAAGCACCGTTACCTCCCTGACACAAAATTAATGGAGGTGTGTTTGATTCTGACCACTGCAATCTCATTCAGTCTCAGATATTATGGTGTCTCTTCCTGTAGCCCAAACAATAGAGTATGACACTAGCAATGCCAAGGTCATGGGCTCGATTCCCAGAAAAAACAAGAACTGATGTAAATGTAAATGTGTGCTTTGGATGAAGTGTCCAGAAGTCCCTGAATTTACTGCTATGCCACTATTCTCTTCTCGCTTTTGCTCACCAAGCTTATATCCAACATTTTTTACTCTTCTCTTTTTCTTTCTTCTTTGTTTGTAGGATTGTGGTCTGCTAAGGAAAGGCACCGTTCTGCTTGCTGATAATGTGATCTGTCCGGGAGTACCAGACTATCTTGAATATGTGCGCAATAGCCTTTCCTATAAAAGCTGCTATTTTAAATCCCATTTAGAGTACACCAAGGCCGAGGATGGCTTGGAGAAGTCTGTGTTTTTGGGCTAGAGATATACAGGGATGATTCATATGCTTAAAAAGAGGACTTTTGCTAAGAGTTTGTTCTAAGAGACTTAGCAGGAGGTATAATTTAAATGGTTTATTATCATACGGCCCCAAGATGTATTGTACTTAAAATTTGTAAATCAGGACGAGTTTTGTATATTACTTGACCAAACAACAGGCTGTTACCACTCTGTACCACTAGAGGGTAGGATCACATTTCAAATGGCTAAATGAAATGTGGTTTTGTCTAGACCAGACCCCTCTTACAGCTTAACCAGAAATTTTTATCTGAAAAATCTAACTATTTTATACCAATGACATTTTTGTATTTGTACAGAAAATGGGGGCTTTGTGGGTTATTTTAAGGTCGTTCTGTAATAATTGAAACAATGCCCTTTGTGTTTATGAATTTATGCATGTCAGCAGTGATGATAATGACAATGGCATTTAGAGTGTGCTAATTTGATGTATTTTTGCAGAACTGATAATACCGTATATGGATTGTAGTTTTATTTGTTAATTTGTTTTCAAAACATTTGGTGCATATTCTTGTATGCTTTTTCTAGTTTTTTGGTTGTACTATAAATTTACTAATTGATTTCTTGCATTCATTTATTAACTTATTTATTATTTATTAACTAAATAATATTTACATTTTAAAGGTAATATTTTTGTTACTATTTTACAGTAGTATTAATTTTTTTCTTATTTTTCTTATTTCCCTTGTTAACTAAGTTCTAAAAACACATTTTCATTCACAGTTTCTTATTCATTTATTTATGACTAGAGAGTGTTGTCTCCAAACACAAGACTATAAATATATAGCAGACAATTTTATTTTATGTTTGGATCGCTCACTCAGATTTTATAGTGTGACATATCCCACAAGTTGAATCGACAGCTATAAATCTTTAATAGCATTCCAAATTAAATGCTACAGCCCATTAAAATATACCTTGTGATTTATCATAGATGAAACATCCCTTAATAAAATACACCATTTCATCAAGTAATGAAATGTGGATAGTATAGCCACATAGTTGAACACAATTCATCCACAAGCACACTAATAAATAAATGACAATATTACAAGCACCTTAAATGATCTGTGGACAGGGAATACTTGTCACTCGATCACTGGTTTGCTTTAAATTTTAATAGAAATGACATTAATGTATTTGAATAATTCATTAGACCTAACAAATAAAACAAATATTAACATAAAGCAAAAGATATCCGGGGGGGCGGGAAAAGTGACCAAAGTGTCGAGTCGGTCAGTATGTTGGGGATGTAAAAACCCATTAGCCCATACAGCCATGTGTTTCAGTGATGGTGGTATTATGGACAAGAGTAAGGCTATACAGTACCATTTAAAAACACACTTGACCCTGAGGTCAACTAGATTATCTGTCTTTATATATATATATATAAATAAAAAACATAGAAGTCATTCCAAAATGTAAACAAAGCATATAAATCGTTATGAGGACACCAGGATGGTCTCGCGCCATATTGTTGCGTAAAAGCAGACGGTCTGAATGCAGAGAACTATATCCAGCAGTGTTCACATTAAAAATATATACGGGTCCATCTCTCTCAGAGACTTCTCAAATGCATGCATGTGGTAATCCCAATCTATGCCCATTAGTGCACACTGAAAAAGAGCAAGGAAGAGAGAGTGAGCGGGGGAGTGAGAGAGAGAGAGAGAGAGAGAGAAAGGGAGAGAGTGAGGGAAAGAGAGAGTGAGGGGGCTTTTAAAGGATTTGACAGTGATTTGTAGACTGTTTGGCCATTCCACTTTTTCCCGCGTTTTATAGTTTAAACTCTGAATGCTTTCTATATTAAAATCTCGTCTTAATCCAAAGAATGTTTAAATTGTCTTTAAAAAAAGTGTGTGAGAAGACTGTGGGCATTTTTAAGATGAGAGCTGAAGACTCGGATGCTGGGGACGTTTACTGTCGCGCTTCAAAACCATCAAACTTCAGTTCCAGATGGGCGCACACTGGCATCAGCAGCAGTCGGTGAGACATTTTAAAGAAGCGAATAAATTAAAAATTGTTGTGTCAATATATTGAATGTAAATTTAAGTAAAATGTTACGATGTTGTAAAGATGTCTGTTCAGGTAACGCGATAAATAATTAAGAGGGATTAGTGCTGCTGTTCCCTTCAACACTTAATCCTTAAACACTTAATCAAACTCGCGCGCGTGTGTTTGTGTCAGCTTTCAATCCAAATATAGCACTTTTTCCGCTCACCTGTTGCTGAATATGTATCAGTTAATTTACATAAAATATTAATATGCATGCCTATACATGCCCTCTATTCTCAGCGGTCTGTTGAGTGCGAAGACGAGCAAGTGAGTTCATTTTCTAGAGGACAGAGACTTTGGGTTGAAACATAACTTTAAAGAATAATTATAAAAATAAGAAGAACTTGGTCAATCAAATGTAAAATCAATTATAAAATGACATATGCTCTGCATTTCGGTATAGGCCTATAAAAATAGGCTATTGTAATTCCTTGAATATGGTGTCAGTAGGTTTTTATGTGTAACTAAATATAAAGGATGTAAACCAATATGCACCCTTACAAAAAAAAAAATACCATGGTAATACCATGTCTTTGGTCACTGCTATGATGGCAATACCAACGTACCTTACAATATCAATGTGCCATGGTATATGAATATGTGACCAAGCTGTTTGGTACATTTTTCATTATTTGTTGAATATTTCTGGTGGAACAAATAGAATGGGAAAAATGGAAATCAAAGCCTAAATCCTTGGGTTAAAAAAAAATCGATATAAATAATTAAATAAATATAAAAGTTATGTTTTGGACTGGAAAAAATGTGTATTTGTAAAAATGATTTTATATTAATATAAATGAACTAATATAAATAGGCATCATAATTGATCACATCTTTAATCAAAATACTTATTCCCATTCTCTGTTAACTAACATTTATATCATTTAAAAATCTTTCTACAAATTATTCTACTTTATAAAGTATATATTATATACTGTAGTTACTTTATTTAATTACATTTATTATATTTAATTGAAAAGTTTTCCTCAGCAGTTTTTAATTTAATCTTGATAATATCAGTGAGTGTGGCTCAAGAGGTCAAATATTCAGCTGCACTATCACACATTCTATCTGCAAAGCAATGTTGTCGCAAGGTATGTTTTATACATATTTTCATGTATACCTTCTGTCTCATTTCTTCATAGGAGACACAGGTAGAGAAGAAAGCATTGTGCTGTAGTAGAACCAGCCACTTGCATGGCAGCAACTATGACATCACAGCACCACGCATCATCACTATGTCATCACCGCAGGATCAGCGGGGCGCCCAGACAACACGTGGGCTCCCTGGTTCATGTCATGTGGGTAGTGATGATGGGATTTACTCCAGAAACCTGGGCCTCCTCAGAAACTCAACCTCATTCCATAAAGATCGAGGGTGACATCACTCTGGGAGGCCTTTTTCCAGTGCATTCCAGGGGCCCCGCTGGTGTTCCATGTGGGGAAATTAAGAAGGAGAAGGGGATCCATCGTATGGAGGCCATGATGTATGCGCTAGACCAGATCAACAGCGACCCTGACCTGCTGCCTAACATCACTCTGGGTGCCAGGATACTGGACACGTGCTCCAGGGATACATATGCGCTGGAACAGTCCCTCACCTTTGTCCAGGCCCTCATCCAGAAGGACAACTCAGATGTTCGATGTTCCAATGGAGAACCACCTATCATCCCAAAACCAGAGCGTGTGGTAGGGGTCATCGGGGCTTCGGCCAGCTCAGTGTCCATAATGGTGGCCAATGTTCTTCGTCTGTTTGTGGTGAGAGAGATCTTTTTAGCTAACTTAATTTTAATGGACTACATTTTAATGTTGATTCCTTCAGTTTCAGGTTCCAGAAAGGCTTCAAGGCAGGTGAAAAAAAAATACTATTAGAAATCACCATACTTTCCCTAGCAGCTTATTATTGACAGTACAGGAAGACAATTGTTTCGTATTATTGTAAATTTTCTGAATTTTTTTATTGCAAATGAGGAGTTGCCTAATTAAATATGCACTCATTTGCATACATTCCAGAACAGAAATCTGAACATTGGATAAAGCCAAGTCAAAAATTCTTGAGGGAGGATTTTAATATTTCTTTTTATCACTTCATAAAGCAGAACATACTGTCAACTGCCAAAAAAAAAAAAAAATCATCATGTTATAGGAATAAAATGTAAAAAAAAATATCAGGCGGGTGTAATAATGAGCAAACCCTTCTGTGAAAACCTTCAGAATATGAATAAAACTGCAAAGTTTGGTGCAATTGAAGTGAAGATTTCATACACAGTGCATGAGAAAAAAGCTAATTTTGAGAAAAGAGCCTTTGTGTTGTATTTGAAATCATTGTCATTGTATTCCCTTCTGTTTTGTGAGGAGCTCTTGCATGGTGTTGCTGCAAGCCTGGAATCTGCAGCGCTGCAGATAGGGCCAGTGCTACAGGAAGTATAACTAATTCTGTTAAAAGGTTTGGATTGGTGTTTCAGCTCACTGGCCTCTCAGCAAGAGCTTCTTAAACGATATAGATTCTTCCTTTATTTTGTTCTGAGAGAGAGTGCATCCGATTTTCCTTGAAGTGAAAAACGGTTTTGCATTGCGCGCACCATTGACCTGTGTCTTTAAAACATTGACAACCACGAAGGTGAAATATGCTGTGTGCATGTCATTTAATTTCAAATCCCTTCTCATTTTCAGATCATCATTCAGCTTGCAAATCCTACACCTGAGCTACATTCAATTTCATTCAGCCCTCTGCCACTTTTTATCATTCTTTTATTTATTCATTTTAATCATTAGTGTTCTTTGTGGTCACTGCTCCAGGCTGTGTGTGCTTTTGTGCGTGAGCTGATAACCTCACCCAGGAGTTATCTGCAATCATTTTCAGTCATCACAGTTTCAGAGAAGATAAATAATTCACAAAAAGTGACTTAGTCAGAGCTCCATTAGGTTTCTCTCAGGACATTATACCTGGAATTTGTGCATCCTAATCATATTTTGCTGTGGTAATTCATTACTTTTAGTGATACTTTCTGGAACAGGGCTGGCTTATATAGCTAAAACAATTATATCTAAATTTGTTAGCCTTTTGATAATATTGGATAAAGAGGAGATTGGAGATAGTTGAATAAATTAAAAATTAACAAATGAACAGTATTTGCTGGAGTAAAAATGTCACCCGGACTTGCAAAAATCTTGATATTTACATATTTCCTCTGAAAGGCAAAACACTACAGGCAAAGCCATTGTTTTTTTTCATGTAGTGGTCAATTATGAGATTTTGGACTATTTTTTGCTTCCATAACATTCTTAATCTTCTTCTTTTGCATCAATAATGCTTTTATTTTATTATACTTTTTCTATTTGCTTCTGTATATTTCAATTAGCATACATATATTTAAAGCAAGCTTTTTTCCTCATTCACTGAACCAGAAATCTCCAATTTAACAACACTTATATACACCAAATGACTAGTTTTATTCTTTATTTTGTTATTTTGTTTATTATCTATATTTTGAATGTTTCCACAGAGGGAGTTGTTCATATATAATTTGTCTGATTTATATGTTACTTTAATTCCTTAAAGCAGATTTCTGGTTGTTGACAGTATTTTCTGATATATGGACTGATATCTAAAATCCTCTCTGTAGCCTATAATTTTAATATGTAAACAAAATTAAACAAAAATTTCGAACATGGCGTTATCCAGTGTTCAGATTTGCAAATTAGTGCATATTTAGACATTGCCTCATTTTCCTATTTTAACATAACATTTCAGAAAACTTGTAATGCAAAACAATTATCTTGATGTACTGTGATTAATCAGCTGTGGAAGTATGGTGATATATACTGTATTATTTTAAAAAATGTACCCTGTTTTACCCTGGTGTAATGCCAAGTTGTTTTTTCCATCATTGAAACTATCATTTCGACCAAACAGCTAATTAGATTCATAATGTTTAGTGCAAAATGTCAAATACAATTAAAATCTTAAAGTCTTATAAATAAAATTAATAATTTAATAAAAATACAACACTGCATAATAATAAACATCAATATTTGCACAGTGTTTTTGTGAAATATTATAATACAATAAAAACAAAGAGTTTTCCATGAAATCTTTTTTAATAATGATCAAAAAGGAGCAAATGAAGAGTTTAAATCGATTCATTGAAAGGACAGTGTGTATGGACATACCACAATTATTAAATCACACAGAGATTAAAAATGTAGTAATCACCAAAGTGCCATCTTGAATCTTTTTCTATAAATTCTGATCTTCATACTAGTTTATGTCTATGTTCTTTACTGAGTTCTGGTAAGTAGGAACTGAGGATGGCAGATATTAACTACAGCATTACGGAGGATCCGCTCGCCATTAAAGCCTACTCACCAGCTCAGACTCCTGATGGGAAATTACACATGAGCCCAGAAAAATGCAGCTGCCCTGTTATCAGCTACAAGCAGCTTCTGCTCTGTCGCTTTAGCTGAATGAGTGTGGACCTTTAGCACATAGATCGACACGGACAGATAGCCAGCCTTTATGGGTGGCACTTAGTCTCTTGGTCTCACATTCTCTTAATAATATTATTCACAAATCCAGAAAATGTTGTTTTAACGACAACACAAGATGTCTTTCTATAGATAAATATACATGAACCATTCTATATCTGATGCATATGGTAGGTGTATGACATTCGGCCTTAAGCAGATTTTTGTATAATTGGATTAAGTGCCATACACAAACTGAATGAGAGTTTTTTTTCCCCCTTAATTGGATTTTATCTTGCAAAGCTGTCACTTTTAAAAGAATAACTTGGAATTTCCTTAAACAAACAAAAAAACATTATAAAAAAATCATTATATTGTAAATCTTTAATAAATAATGGAGTATCCTATACTAAAATAATAATAATAATAATAATTGTCAGGCAACCTAAAATGTATTTTAAATGAATTTCTCTTAATCAGAAATATTATTTAATCTGGATGAATCAACCTGAATATTTTGGGTTATATCCGGCCACCAGTGAAAGTCACTTTTAAGGGTCAGATCATGACAAAATAAAGCAGATGTTCATATTTTCATAAGAATAAATGCTTAGGTAACATATGTTGAAACGCTTCCAGGAAATGTTTGCATGTGATTGCTGTTAATGTTGACATGACTCAAGTGTGGAAAGGCTTGAAGGCTGTAATGTTTATGGTGCATAGCAACAAATCTGTACATTTCAGTAACAACCTCCTATATCAATATTTTCCTTTGTATATTTGCATTCTAATGTTTTAGAATTGCATTTGGATGGGGAATGCATTGCAAACTTTGAATATTGTTGTTTCTCGTGCAAGATGTAACAAGCGTCTGGGCGGTCACAGACTGTAATGTATATGTTGTATGCTGGGGGAGGGGCGGTTTAAATCTGTCGTAGCATGTCAGCTAGTAGAATTAAATATATTGTATGGCTTATGGCTGAGAAATGGCAACCTTGTCTCTTGATCTGTCTCTCTCCCTCTGTGCTTAACGTAATTTGACTAAAACCCCTCTAATCCTTCCAGATAATCTGTCAAATGGTCCTCTCCCTCTTCTCTCCTTCTCCGTTCTGTATCCACCTTTTTTCCTCACAGTCCGCTGGCCTGCTTCTTTAAAGAACCTTTTATTAAGCCACACGGGCTCGGCAGACATTAGTCTGCGCAAAGCCTGGTCCGATGACATCAGCTGCATCATTAAGAAACTAGCACAACAGTAAATCAATCTTCTTATCCTTTTTTTTTTTACAAACAAATGCTTTAACAGTGGTAGCTCGTGCCATCTGTATTTCCCCAGGACTTTTTATGAGCTACAGCAAACACTACCACTAAAGCTAGGGTTGTTTTGCTGTAGGAGACTTGCTAGGACAATATTACTACAACAAATGTGCTGGTCTACTGAATATGATGATCTTCAGACATGATTAGCTATATCACGTAGCAGTGTGATATTTCTTTTACACAACAGTTCAATAAACAAGAGAGCAGCCTAGAATGTAAAAAGTTTTTTTTTCAACTCAAAGTTGTAAATAAAACAAAGATTATTGGAATATGCAAAAAACAACACTATTTTATTTTCAAAAATGTGTTTTATTAAAAAACATTTTATTAAATGTGTTACTTTCCATTTCTTTGTAATTGTTTGTGAAATTTACTTGCAATTACTGAGTGAAATTTTTCTACACTAATTGTTTTTGTGTGTAGACAGTATCTTAGACCTAGTATTTCCAGTTATTTTGTCTATTGTCGCTCTGCCATCGAAAATAGTCTGCATGCGACTTTTCTACTTGAATCAGCATTTTTGCGGGTTCATCAAACGGGTGAAGTGAATGATTCAATGACACATATTTTGTTATTTGAATCAGTGTTTTGAATGAAACACAATAGCTTCATCCAAAATCGCGTACTCTTTGAGTAGGTAATTGTTTCGAATAAGTACTTACTTTGTAACCGCTGAAGAAGCATGTTCTATATGGTATGAATGTAATCTGGACATACTATATCCATCATATTGGTATTGTTATGTGACCAACCAGCATCTGTTACATCGCTTTAGTGCCATTCACAAATCCTCTCCCATGGCCTTGTGGGATAGTGAAATTCCACTGACTTTTCTCCAACTCTTTTATGAATACTGTGAATCCAGACATATTACTCATATTGTTTTTGCCTACTGTATGGATGTCACCAATGTTTTAATGATTCACTGAAAAGACAGTTACTTGTCGTCACCTACTGGTGTAGCAATGTGACATACAGAAATATTGATAAACCCCCAACACTTAATGAACAAACATGCAAACAGACAAAATGATACAAACAGTAAAACATGCATTTCAGCAAAATGTTCATTATCCTGATGCGTAAATGAATTTGAACTATTTGCAAAAGCCAGTAAAATCAGTTTTGCAGATCAGAGATATTTATGATGTTCACAATTTTTGCAGCAGCTACATGTATGTGAAAAGGTGCAAAGTGAGTCCGGTTGCTCGCTGATGTGTTATGTATCTTCCATTTCACAGATACCTCAGATCAGTTATGCTTCAACAGCACCTGAGCTTAGTGACAACAATCGCTATGACTTTTTCTCCCGAGTCATGCCGCCTGATTCCTTCCAAGCCCAGGCGATGGTAGACATCGTCAAAGCCATGGGCTGGAACTATGTTTCTACTCTGGCATCAGAGGGCAACTATGGAGAGAGTGGTGTAGATGCTTTCGTTCAGATATCCAGGGAAGCAGGTACTTAAAACTGAATTGATATAAAAAAGAAAAAGAAAGAAAAGAAAAATGAATGAATGCATTAATATGTATATAAGTGTTTGGTCATATATGTGCTTTAGTACCCTGATTTTCCATAACTGAAGTTGAATTTATCACAGTCTATCCCAGGATTTAACACGTCTGGTGTTGTATTTGATGAGGAAAGAGGATAATGATCAGAGGATAAAGGTCTCATGTGATTTTCTCTGTGTAAACAAGTTATTAGTCACCTAGATGTAATGATAGACATGCTACAGACTGACCTGCACGTCATATTCAGTTGAAAGACCTTGCAATCATCATTCTTTTATTAACGTCCTGCAAGTCCTTCAAAACTATCTATCCTTTTATTTTATTTTTTTATTCAGGAGGTCTTTGCATCGCACAGTCTATTAAAATTCCTAGGGAGCCAAGACCAGGAGAGTTTGACAAGATCATCAAAAGGCTAATGGAGACATCCAATGCCAGAGGGGTTATTATCTTCGCTAATGAAGATGACATCAAGTGAGTAGTCTTTCAGTAGTAATTCTGAATCTCTCTGAGGCAGGAGCTATGGCTCTGGAAAGGGTTTATAAATGATTAGAGAACAGATCAATCACCCTACAATGGGAATATCAGGAGTCTCGGAAGAAATTATGAAATTATGGCAAATGAATGGACCACAAAGTGAAATTTATGTTTTAAAATTAATATAAAATGATACATAGTAATCTAATTAGTATATATATATATATATATATATATATATATATATATATATATATGCAATGCATTTGTCCACCAATGCATATACAGTAAGAACAGTAACATTATGAAATATTATTACAATATTATTATAATAAAAAAAACTATATTCCATTTTAATATTATAAAATGTAATGGCAATGCTATGATGGCAAATCTGTGTCACATGATCCTTCCGAAATCATTCTAATATGCTGATTTGGTGCTCAC